TCAGCTTCCTGAGTGCTGGGATTACAGCAGGTGTGCTCCCGGCTCAATTCTGATTTCCTTGTTTCCATTTACCTATCCTTTTTTTTTTTTCTGTCCCATCTCAGTAAAGGTTGAGGATCTTTTAAGAGCTGGGACTTTAACACCCTTCCAGCCCCCACTCCCGGCTCCAGGGAAGCAGGCTTTTCCTCCTCGCACTCCACCTGCACCCCCTGGGCACCGCCGCATTCTCTTTGGGACAGGTGGAGCCTGTCCTTGCTGGAGAAGCTCAGCCCGCGCCGCGGGTTCAGCGCTTGCCTCCTGAGCACATCATTTCCTTGTATGCTCACTGGCTTTCACACTTTGCTGTGTCACAGCTATTTCAGGTCTTGATTTGGAGGCCTTGAGGAGACCAAGACGTAAAGTCCTTGCCCTTCTAGATTCTTGGACCTCTTGCACCTGTCACCAGATTCTGCGGGTCAGTAGACTCTTCCCAGGTCCCTGGTGTCCTGAACAAGGAATTGGGCAAGACCCGCGAGAAAGGCAGTGCGGTGTTACATTTACTAAAGGTAGGAAAGAAGTACATTCTGCAGGTGAGAGCGGGCCAGTGAGGCTCACAGGGTAAAGGCAGAAGTCTTTTGTACCCCTCATTCTTCAGGCTACATCACATCGGGCCATCCTGTCAAAAACCTGCTTGATTTTGTGCCAGAAGAACTGAAGACAGCACTTTCTGACTGGTCCCAGGTGCAGGGCCGGGGAACTGTGTTCCGCATACGCGTTCCAGATCTCTGCGGTGACTGGTTACACCCACCTGCTCAGCCAGCTGGCCACACCCTGGTCTCCTGCCTCAAGCCTGATGTAGTGGCACGTCTGCTGTCATCCCGGCCCTCGGAGGAGGTGAGAGACAACGATCACGGTGAATTTGAGGCCAGCCTGGGCTACATAGTGAGACTCTGTACAAATAAGTGAACGAGTGAATGAATGACCATGCAGAGCCTACCAAGAAATGAACACAAGATCAAATAGGTGGAGACCAACGCCTGGGCTTTGACGAGAGTCCACAGATCAAGATGCATTGCCGGACTTCCTAACGCTGGACTCAGGCCTCCCGGGGAGCAGGGTATGTGGGTGCAGGGTATGAGGGTGGAGTGGGGTACAGGACGAGAGGATGAGGGTGAGCAGCACTTTGCAAGGGGCACTAATGGCTGTGCTGATTTGTTTTTCAGCACCCTATTCAAAACTAGCTCCACTCTGCAAAACTGCACCTTGTAAAGTCATTCTTTTTTGTTTTGCCCCGCACTGTAACTAATAAAAGGAAGAGAAAAAGCAAGCAAACAACATTCTAAATGGTGAGATATTACCTCTCAGAGTCAACTATCCTAAGAGAAGGGAACTAAGGGGAAAACACTGGTTGCCAGACCTCCTGATCAGCGACCTTAGTTTTTCAGAACGCAGAACAGCTGGGAGGCTTCCAAAGGGATCACAGTGTGCGCCGAAGATTTGCGAGTCCTGCTGTCTAAGTGAAAGAAGAAGAATGCTTAACTTGCCTGGACATAACGTGGTTACACAGAGGAGAGCAGCACCAAGAGGAACGGCCCTGAGGATGCACAACCCGCACGGCCTTCCTGCCCCGTCCCTCACCTCCCTCAGAAAACCCCGGCCCAGGACCTACCTTTTGTGAAGTGGCCACTCAGACAGGGCTCGGGCCATTTTCCTGATCAGCTAGCTACGTTAATGAAACCTGGCTGCCTCCCCACTCACCGCCCCCTCCTGAATGCTGGCCGGCCCGTGGGCGGGCAGCACAGCCCTGAATTGGTGACAGTGAGCGGCTCCTTCAGGGTGGGGAGAACCGGGATGAGGAAGCTGGGAGAAGGCGATGTTCTCTTCAGAAGCCTTGTGAGTGGGAGCTTCTGTTTCACGGACCAGAGAGGGAAGGGATGGTTTCTTCCAACAGAAGTGCTCCAAGCGGCGTGTAAGAACTGCCGATGCTCTTCGCGCGGACTCTCAAGCAGGCTCTGCGGACCTGATGCTTCTCGGTAGCAGCCGCAGGGCGCCCCGGTGCGTAGTACTGGTAGGCACGCAGTTAGACAGCACTGGGCTGGGGGGACAGGGGTGGGGTCTAAAGCAGTGCACCTTCCTGAGCACCCGGCCTACATTCGATGGTAGCAGGAGGGAGTGTTCTTTAAAGACCCTCCTCGATAGGGCTGAGACCTGATGCAGATTCTTCTATGATTAAGGCCCCAGAGGGAACGCTGACCACCAAAAAAGAACCAAATAGACAGTTTTGAGACACTGACACTCCTAGGCAACCTGTGAGGGAAATGTCAGTGAGCACATACATGTGAATAAAACAATGATTGTCATCATAGTTCCCCAAAGCCAAGGAATAATTCTTAACGTGCATAAAAATGTACCCAAACTAGCACTCGGCCTAGACATCCTTGAGATACCGCCTGCCTTCTCTCTGTATCCATTATACAATAGATTGACTTTTTTCTGAGACAGGAGCTTGCTATGTAGTGCAGGCTGGCCTTGAACTCACTAGGTAGGCTATGCTGGTCTCAAACTCATGGCGATCCTCCTGCCTCAGCCTTTGGAGTGCTGGGATTACAGGTGCGCACTATCACACCCAGCTTATTTCTTATACAATAAAGTTACGTATACTTCTGCCTGTGTGTCTTGGCTGAAATATTTCATCAAGGATGTAAAAGGACCAAGGACCAAGGATTGAGGGGCCAATTTCCCAAAGATATCATCACCCTTATGGAATGTTCTCGTGTGTGTGTGTGTGTGTGTGTGTGTGTGTGTGTGTGTGTGTGTATGCAGGAACTGAACTCAGGGTCTTTGCACAGAGCTATATCCCCTGGCCTATTTTTATTTTTGAAACAAGGTTTTGCTAAATTGCAAGGTTGCCCAGGCTGGGCTCAAATTTATCTGAGTACTGGGATTACAGAGATGCCCCACCACCCGGCCTGGAAAATTATTTTTCTTTCTTTTAATTTATTTCTGATTCCTTCTACAATGCTCTGGATCAAGGCCTAATAGAATGCGAGGTCCCTCCTTTTCTTCTGGGAAGGTCCCCCATATCCTCTCTGGAGTTTATCTCCTCTTCTTGTCCTGACCTGGTAGACTATGAAAAGTCCTCACATAGATTTCCTGGGAACTCCAGTTTTAAAATGAGCGCATGTGGGAAAATTCTGTCCAAGGATGGAGGGGGCTCTATGTTTGCCTCAACTTATTAAGCTCCTTAGGGAAAAGTCTTAAAAGCAGCCCAACCAGACTATCTAAATACATGGTATGGAGCAGAGTTTTGTTTCACAGGCTGTGGCCTGAAATAGGTTAGACAGAGCTGGGCGGGAGGACAGGGATTTGCATTGCAAAGGTATTTGCTGGACAGGAACTGACCCTGGAGCTGACCCTTCGAGCTCGCACAGCTGATGTTTTGACCTGGCTGATCCGGGCCTGGGACTTGGGTTGGGAAAACATTGCACACGCACTCTGCCGGTCAGAGGTCAGGGGAGGGGGCAGAAAACACAGAACGGGCTGTGTGAATTGTGAACCTGAGTCACTGCCAGAGAGGAAGAAAATAGCATGTGTCATCCTGGAAAAGCTCTTCTAGGGTGTTTCTTTTGGCTTCCTCTCCTCCGGAGAGTATCCCTTGGCTCTCCCTGCTACATTTTCAGACTTAAAAGGAAGCCACCTTCTAGTAGATTCTTTCCTGCTCCTCTCGAGAAAGAAAACGAAGGAAATGGAGTGTCCTGGTTTCTGAAGAACATGGGTCAGACTTGGAATGAATTCCCAGCCAGGCGCTGGGATGTCTGCAGTCACCTCTGGTCTTGGTCTTCTGGCGCCCTCTTGGGCACGGGAGTGGAACTGTATTCCCTGGTGCAACCGGGGAATCAACCTGGAGTGGTGTGGCACTGTAATCCCACCTCTTGGGAAGCTGAGGCAGGAGGATCCCCAGGAGTTCAAGGCCAGACCAGCCTGCATATTGAGTTCAAGGCTAGCCTGAACTATAGCAAGGCTGTCGCAAAAAGCCCCAAAATACATAAATAAAGTTGTCTAAATCTCCACGACTACCATTCCCTGACCACCACTCAGGAGTGTCCTTCTCCAGTGGGAAGGCTTCCTGACCAACTTCTTGCCCTTCCTACACCTTTTCTCTCTGGTCAGCCTCTACAGACCCTCCTCAATGCATTTTTTTTTTTTTTGGTCTTTTTGAGACAGGGTCTCATTATGCAGTTCAAGCTGGACTTTAACTCACACTGTAGCCCAGGCTGGCCTAAAACGCATAGCAATCCTCCTGCCTCGGCCTTCTGAGTGCTAGGAGTACAGGTGTGAAACACCATGCACTGCCTAATTTTTTCCTAAACAAATTATATTTCTGCTTGCATTTCTGGTCACTAATACCCAGGGAAAAAAAAAGCCGTGCAAACAATCAAACATGCATTGCTGAAATTCATTCTTAGTTTTATGGAAATATAAAATACATTTATATTCCACAGAACTTCACCCATTGTAAGTGAAAGATTTTTAGTAATTTATAGCACTGTACCATCACTGTCACAATAAAGTTTTAGAACAGGCAGTTCCCTCCAGGGTCTTTGTAGTCAATCTGTATTTTCACATCTTGTCTCAGCAATTACTGATCTGCTTTCTGTCTCTACTGATTTGCTTTTCTGCTGATTTCATAAAAATGGAATCATAGAACATGTAGCCTATTGTGACTGGTTTTGTTTACTGTATAGTCTTTAAGGTTCTTACACATTACTTATAGTATGTATCAGTGCTTTATTCTTTTCGAGGGCCAAATGACATCTACACTTTGTTTATCTGTTCATTGGTTGATGGGCGTCCGGGTTGTCTCTAGCTTTTGACTATTGTGAATAATACTGCTATGAACATTTGTATACAGCGTGAAGAATTTAACTTCAGTTCCTTTTTTGTTGTTGTTTATCAATATCCAGCTGTTGAAAAGACTGTCTTTTCTATGCTACTGCATAGAAGTCCAACTAGCCATAGATGAAGAGTTTATTTCTGGACTCTCAATTCTGTTTGATGTGTAAGTCTATTTTCAAGCCAATACTGCACTGTCTTGAGTATTGTAGGTTTACATAAATTTCTGGTAGTTATTGCTTTTTTGGAAAAATCACACTGCCATGATTTCTTTTTTTTTTTTTTTTTTCTTTTTGAGACAGGGTCTCCCTATTCAGTTCAAGCTGGCCTTGAGCTCACTTTATAACCCAGGCTGGCGTTGAACTCACGATCCTCCTGCCTCAGCCTCCCGGGTGCTGGGATTACAGGCATGCGCCACCACACTAGGCTGCCATGATTTCTTTTACCAGTTTTTCATCTAGCAAGGCTTCATCCAGCGATGTCCAAGGCTTCATTGGTCTTTTAGCTTGTATGCCCTTCTCTAGACAATGTGGTGCAATAATGTGCCAAGAATTAAGGTGATTCACTGGTAAATTTCTACTTTGAAAAGTGGTAACGAGAAAGCTTGAGTTTTAATAAAGCTCATCATGTCTACATTTAAAATATTCAATTCCCTTTCTTTTAAAATCTGGCTGGTCTCAAAATGATGCCTCAATTCACCATACTGGCACCATCACAGTATAGTATTTGAAAAAAATTCTGTGGATACGATGCAACAAACAGACGATTAACATCTCCAAAGCTCAGGGGGAAAATAGGAGCTTTTCTCATACTTCCTTTAGTACCAGTTTTACCAGATCTTCCCCTTCCTGAGTCAGACAGGATGATGTTATTAGCACCATCTTTTCCAGGGTGTTTAGATGTGGGATGGCTAGAAAGTAAATTTTCGAGTTTTCCTTTAGGGTTTTTTTTTTTTTTTTTTTTTTTTGGTATTGCGAATCGAACTCAGGACCCTGC